CTGCTGATGCAAATCTGTTCAGGTTAATTTAAAATAATGTGCAAACAGAAAAAAAAGTCACAATACTGAGTCACTGAAATGTAAAATGCCAGAAGAAATTATATGTTAATAAAGTAGTGCATGTGAGGAGGGGAAGGGAACTGAAGGGCGATCTCTTTCAGACATATAAAATAGCAAACTTTAAATTATGTATTCTCACTCATGGAAAAGATTCTGAAATCAAAATAAGTAGATTTATGGGAAGTTAAAAATGAAACAGCCCTCTGGAAAACATCTAAGTAAAAGAGCAATTTAATTTTGGGAATTCTTGGAAAATAGGGACAGTGCAGAAAATGTAACTCAAATATATGTATCCATAGTTTACCTGAATCTTGGATATTGTATGCTGTTCTTGCCATCACATCTTAGGAAAACTTAGGGAAACTGGAAAAGGCTTTTTGAAAAAAGTGGGGAAAGTGGATGATCAGAGGAGTGGAATCACTTCTGCATGGTGACAGACTAGATAGACGGAGTTTGTCTACCTTGGAAATGGGATAACCAAGAGAAGACAGGGTAGGGCAAATAAAGTAATGAATTACACAGAGGGTGAATGCAGAACTATCATTCTGGTGTCTGTTAGCATACAAGAACTGAAGAGCTTGTGTTAATATCTCCAGGCAGCAAGAATAAAACAATAAGAAACACTTTTTCATAGAAAAAGTAATCAAACAATGTGAGACACTGCCACTAGATGTTGTAAAGGCCAAAAGTTTAGCTGGGTTCAAAAAGGGATTAATGGCTACTTTTGTTTCATGAATTGTAAAAACATCCTGCTCAGACACAACTTCTAGCTTAGGAACTTCCTAAACCACTAATTGCCAGAAGATGGGAGGGAGGGGTTGCTCAGCTCTTGCCATGCCTCTTATAATCTTTCGTTATGCATCTCCTAATGGCCATGTTGGGAGCAGGATAATGGGCTAGACAGATTTTTTTTTTTTTTTGTCTGACCCATTATGGTTGTTTTTATTTTGTAGGCGTAGATATTTTTTTTTTTCAGTAATGGGGGGACAAAATGGAAATTTTCAACTTGTTCTTGGAGTTCAGTAAGTGCTGTCTGGAATATGACTCCTAATAGCTAGTTAGGAATGACCATGCTTTTTGCCTTCTTTATTTTAATATATAAAAAATTAGTCTACAAATTCATCTGCTGAATACTTAGGAATATTTTATCTAAATACAAGGAGATGTGGGTGAAGCTGAATCATTTGTGTATTTCGATTGACTAATCATGATATACATGTATTTTAAAAAATAATGTGTCCGAGAAGCTGACATAGTGAGCAGGGGGAGTTTTCTGTGGTTCTGTCTGAAAGGAGGTGGCTGGCATTATTTTTGTCGTTGCTGTGAGTTAGGGAATACTAAGTTTCAATGACAGAGCATCCTAAATTCTACAGTGGTACTTCTGACAATTAGTAGGAACAGTGGCAGACAAGGAGAGTTTCTTTAACATCTGTACCTTTTTTGTACAACTCTATCATCCTTTTTTCTTATTAGAGTGAAGATTAGCTTTTGGGTTTAAAGGAAGTATGAACTTTTTTTGGGCTTTTTTTCTGATTAAGCTTCTGTTGTAGGTTTTCTCCATTTGAATTTATAATGTAGAAGTCTATTTGTACTTACTAAACAGATTTAATCAATTATCATAGAGCACTTTAGAAAAGAAAAATACATTACTTTGTGTCAAATGAGTTTACCCTGTACTGCATGCAAACTATGCACATCGTTACAAATCTTGGTCTCAAACTTCTAAAGTTGTTATTTTTTTGTTTATTAGGAAACCTTGCTTCAGATCCAAAAAGGCAATAAGGAGACTACACGTAGCAAGAAGAAAGTGAGCCACAATCGATCATGAAATGCAATTACACAATATTCAAAGCTGAGTGAAATAAAGACCTTAAATAGCAGTAGCCTGTAAAGTTTAAAATTAAAAGTAGTTTTATCACATATGGTGAAAAGGGGGATTGAATCAATGAAACTGATCTCTTGTATCTTGTTTGCTGTTGATTTATGTGAAATTATACTTGAGGTGAGCCTCCTTTTAATTTGTATGTTAATACATTTTGTTCATTTGTGGAATATTACTTCAGTGGTCTGGAAGGAGATTTCTTGAGTTCAGCTGATGCTCAGTGGATAAATGGAAGTGCAAGACTTAAAAAGGTCTTTCACCTGGTCATTCTTAGCTTGGCTAACGTACTTGCAGATTTTGTTTTGACAGTAAGGCTTTATATAACAGCACACAGCATTACTGCTGTGATGCTGAGTTGCAATAAATCAGTATCTGAATGGGAGCTATAATATAAACTTTGTTTTGTCCTTTCTGATACAGCATCGTATAAAACTGCTGCATGTATCCAGAAGGTAGACAACAATCCACTACACTGTCAGGCTAGCTGTAAGATACCAGTAGAAGTTTGGAAAAAATAATTAAGCCCAGTCTCTCTTGGGTTCACTTAATTTCTTTTCTTCTTTACCTTTCATCTTCATTTCTTTGGAATCCTTTAATATCAATCTGTCTTTCACTAGAGGAAGAGATACTAGAATTTTGAAGTATTTTATGTTAAGAAGACTTGCAAAAAATTAAAACTGAGATTTCAGCTGGTGAAAACTATCAGAAAAAATATTTTATGCATTGTAGATCAGAAATCAGAAATTCTTGCTGAGTAAAGTACCCCTTTTAGAAATGCATCCTGTATGTGAATATTACATTTGTTGGTCATACTTGTGTTTATAAATTCTGCAGAAATTGTTTTAGACACTTAAAAATCAAAATCTTCTATGCCATGGAAACTTACAGTGGTTCTTTGACCTCTTGGCCTTCTGCTTTGTTTTATTACCAGTGGATGATGTTGCATTGAGAGGCGATATAATTGGGCTAATTGAGGACAGATATGATAAAGTCAGTCTTTATGATCGCAACCATGATTAATTTCAACAACCATCAATGAGAATGTTTTAAGCTTTTGCAAAAAGATAAGGAAAATTTAATTTGAAAATACATTATGGCTTTCTTTGTTGACAATAACTTTTGCCTTTTTCCCTTAGTTCTGTGTAACTTTCATTTAGACATATATTTTTGTATATACTTGTGTATCTACTATTGATATTAAAAATGTTTTTATAGATATATTTATGTATATATTTACTGGAGGAATTTGTCTCTTATAAGGATTGGGGAGGGGAAATCTAAACTAAAATAATCTAGACCTGCTGTTAAATCTGAAAAAACCTTTGGACAGATGATTTCTGGAGATAGTGTCTCTTCTGGCCTTGGTTTGGAAGCAAGGGTCAGATGGGACCCCTTGGCAGAGGTGATGCTCCTTCCTTCAGGAGCTCCCACCTGCAAAGGGAAACAGAGGGCCCTCCTTAGGTGTGGTAGGCAAGTGTCAAAATACAAATCTGGGAGCCTGCATTTTGTGCCGATGGCCTGAGAGACCTCAGGAGGCAGCAATGGGCCAGGCAGGCCTCAGGGAGAGGGAGCAAATTTCCAGGGAGTCAAAGGGATCAGAGTGCTGCCACTAAGGAATTCCCTGAGCTAAATGAAAGAAAAGCAGAATCCATATGGTCTGTCTGCAAAGACAAAGTAGGTAAGGATGAATACAGTTGTGCAAACTTTGCTCTGTCTGGCCTAGGGTCCTACACATGACCTTCATATACTGTTAGATACAACGTTAATAACACTAGTCCTGTCTAATAAAACCTGGCTCTGGATGCGTGTATGGTTGGGGTGAGGATTAAGGGTTTTTTGTTAGGATCTAGGCAACTTTACCCCAAGGCTCTGGGGAGGTCAGGATCCCTCACAAAGATGAGCTCAGAACAGCTGCTGTCTCGGGCACCACATTTTACTAGCTGGAGGGTGCAAGGGCAAAAAATGCAGGCCATTGCCCTTGTGTCAGCATATACTCACCGAGGAGTTTCTTTCAGCCTCACTGGTTCACATAGTTGCTGTAGTTATGCTTTGGAAGTCAGATGTGCAAACTGTACGGAGAGCAGTGGGAAATAAGGGGGAAGGTAAAGAAGTGGTCAGGAAGTAGAATCTAGATGAGGTTTAAGGTATTATGGTATGGTGGAAATAGATACTGCTGACTGTCATTCACTGTCTTGGTCTGGCTCTGTCAGTGTGGGTGGAAGGGCTTTGGAGAGATGCTGCCAGGTAAAACTTTTTCTGTTAAGAGTCTAATAGGCAAAGTGTCTAGAAAAAGCTGACATTACAGTCCCATAAGCAACAAACAGACACACCCATAACTTTGCTCCCTCATCACATTAAACTCTCAATGTACCAGAAGTAATTCCTCCAAAAAGTGTAGTCTAAACTTCTCTGTTTACTTATCTCTACTCTCCGCTCATTTTTCACAAATAATTTTATGGCAGGGTAGGTGGTGTAAAGGTGATTAGAAAACCACAACCTGTGTTTGGAGGAGAAAGCTGGGCATGTCGCTGTGTGACTACAAGCACAGTTTTTGTTCAGTTAGTTGCCTTTTGTCAATCAATTGCAACCTGGTAGGTGGATGCAATTGTATGGTATTGGTGGTGGTTACTGTAAGGTTGTTTTGCTTTATCTTAGTCTTGCTTCTCTTTCTCTGCCTTCTAGCATGCACTTAATTCAGGTGGACTCTGTTCAGCGATGGATGGACGATTTGAAGTTGATGACAGACTGTGAATGTATGTGTATTCTCCAGTCCAAGCCAATCAGTATTGAGAAGGATGAACAAAATGAACTTATCCTTTCCTCACAATATAGTACATGTGATAACTTGCAGCAGCTATTAAAAAGAGCTTGGATCATAAGCACAGAGTTGACTAGGATTGCTCTGAAGGTGGAGAAGAACAGATGGCAGAGAGTCCACAGCATGACAGTCAGAGTCAACTGCCATGTGCGTTCAATGATAAATGAATACAATACATTCAGCCGGAATTTTTCAGAAGAAATGCACCAGGTAGGATGGCTTACCTGACATCAGGTTTGTCTTTTCTTTTTTTTTTTTTAATTGTAATAATTGAAACTTACTTTAAACAATCTGTAAGAAATCCTTACCTACAGAACTGGTTCCTTGTTTAAGACTTCCTAATCCCTGTTCAGCAATGGAAGCATTCTTGACTCACTTTGGATTCTGTTTTATCATAGGGTTGATTCCGAATATTAGTAATGTTGACAAATTATGTTGAAAAATAGGGGTTTTTTTGAGGACTACTGGACTGAAGTAATTAAACGCCCCACTTGTTAAGTTCCTTTGCATTTACAATATAGAAAATACTGTCTTTTTTGTTAACTTCAGTTTTATTTCTACTTGTTTTATCCAGAAAAATAAAAGGATGTCCATATGAAATATTGTTCTGGAGGGTTTTCACCTAATTATCATAAACAAGTATTATTTATTTTTAAAGCAATTGTGTGTATGGATATTGTTTTAAAACCACTTTCTCTTTCTCTCTCTGCAGTTTGAAAAACTTCTAATAGACAAGTGTTCAGAATTTACAGCATTCACAGAAAGGTAATTAAAATTTTTTAGTTGAAATATAATTTTGCTGTTTTATTATGTTGTAGAATTTCTAATGAGAAGTAAAAATCCACTAACACCTTCAAATTTTTGAGCTAGGCCCCTACAGTTATGAAAGGCTTTCTAAATGTTAGCCTCTGGTGGCTGAAGTGAGTTGCTTTTATTTAAAACTGCATCCTAATGAAAGATGAGATCTGCTGTCGCACAAAGAGCCTGGCATAGACACAAAGCTGCATGCAATTGGATTTTTCAGGGCTTTTGGACATCAGTGGAGAAAGTCTGGCTCTAATGATGTCAGTGGCAAAGTTCCCTTCAAGTTCTGTGGAGCCGAGATTTCAGCTGGTGTGAAAACTTACATTGCGAGACTGTCGTACAACATGTTCCTGTATGAATATATCCACGTATTAGTAAATCAAACTGAAATAAATACACATTCCTTTAAATTGCAGTTGTAGGTTTACTCAGCTCCATACACTCCAAAATGCTGAGAGTAGAAAATAAGATTCTCTTTATAATTCTTCTCATGATGTTTCCCCTGCCTAACATAAGTTATCCTGTTACCTCTAGCACAGTTCAATCAGTCTTTTTCCATTTACTTTAAACACTGTCCAAGTCATTCTGCTCAGCGGATCATCGGGGAAATAGACACCATCTAATTATCAGGAAAGAACACTTCTTGAGCAGTGTTGCTTTCTGCCAAACCCGCACAGCTCAGACTTTACTTTTATATTCTACTATGAGACACACTGATTTAATGAGAGCTCTGATCTCATAGTGTCTGCCCCAAATCAGCCTTCTCCCTTCTTGTCTGTTTGACAAAAAGTTGGTATAGGTGGATGAAAGACAGGTAAAGCTGAAAAGGGAGAGCTGTAGGAGGAGACACTGATCAGCCAAAAAGTATCTTTTATTACAGTGGCCTGCCTGGGTGGAATATGTTTTGACAATTCAAATGAATGCATTTCTGTCAGGAAGTATTAGTTATTTTGTTTGAATTGTATAAAGTTTTCCATTTTTACTTAATTTCTTCAGTTATAGCCAAATATCACTGGTTAGAGGATAGTTATACTAACTCTGTGAAGTTGCTGTATGTAATTTTTCTGCATAGAAGGCCACATTTTACTTTTGAATATGCTGTTTAAATTTAAATAAACTTTACTCATTTGAACATGCATCCATTTAGGATCCTTATCCTGTTGTCATTAAACTATGGCAAACAAGGTAAGGAAACAAAAATTGAGAGTACTTTGGTCATGAAAGGTGGATGGATATACACAGCTGCAGTTAAAACACAGGCATCCTAGAGTGATTGTAACTGTTAGCCTAAGAGGTAAATAGCAGTTACACTGGTATAAACACACAGCATCTGCACCAAAATTTGGCCTGTGAAGTAAATTGTGATCCCAAAATTATTCATTAATGTCCACTGTTGTCCTTTGATGGTAACTTACTATGTGTAGACAAAGCTTTGATTAAGGCCTGGTATGATGCTAATAGCACAATGACAGTGTCATTGTGAATGGTTGAATTCCTGTTACATCCCCGTTATTCACACAGAGCTCACCTGTGACAACCAGCTTAATAAAACAGTAGTTGTCTGTTGCATCTTTTTTCCTTCATCCTTTTCATTTTTTCCTTTTCAGGTGCATACAAACTGAAGATGAACAGATACTGAAGTCCATGAAATCTTGTATTAATGAAATGCTCACTACGGTTGCTCAGTATTTTGGCCAGTTGATAGAGCTGGTTTTAACACATGAGGCACAGGTTAGTTTATAGTTACGAAAAAATAGTCTTTCAAAATTGTTGAATCTTGAGGGCGAGTATACATTGAAAGGAGGATTAGAATTACAGATCTCAATTTTCAGCAAGCTTATGATCAGTAATTCAAATATTTTTCAGAGAAATTTAGGTGTTTGTATTCTCACATTGTCCAATAACTTCAAGTCCCAAACCAAATTATCTTGTGGCTCACTATGCTACTTAATTTTTCTGTTAAGTCTCATTCATTGCAAGCCATCTAATTCCTGGACAATGTCTTGTTAATAAGACCTTTGGACATGTTTTCTCTTCCTTTCATACTGACACTGCTTTTCTTTAGAAACCTTGAAAAAAGTATCTCCTGCTCTCAATGATTCTCATTAAAAGCTGAACTTTTTAGAAGATGTACATATGGCAAGTATGTTATTATAGCACACATTTTAACCAGTGCATGTCTTAGACTCTAGGAAGTAGTGATAAAATACAGCGTTGTGTACAGGTTATATGTGTGTGTGCAACCTTCCAGAAACTGCTGTAGCCTTGCAAGCATCGTGTATAGTTTCCAGTGGTGATTAAATGTAGATAAATGCACTGAGTAATTAGTCTGAGACTACAAATGCATTAATTTTTTACCATTAGACCTTTCTTGAAATGGTAGTAAGTAGCAGCTTGCAAGTCTAACATCTGTCTTGACTTACACTGTTTTTTTCTTGAGTTCTCATTAGAAATCCCTTTGCACCCTCTAATCTTCCTCAAATGAAAAACCCCAAATGTAATTAGGCTCAATTAATTTGTCCATATTTTAAAGGTAATGTTATGCTGAAATTTTGTGTTGTCCCTGTGGAAAAAGAGGAAATCAAAGCTAGTGAAGAGGAAATAGTTAAATAGTATTTACTATGGTGCTAAAACAAAATTAATGTGCGGTATTGGCTAGATTATAACATACCTTGATGCATTAAGATAGCAAAAAAAAAAAAGTTGTGGCTCTTTCAGAACTTTCAGAAATAACCTTTATAGTTTTAAAAGATTATTACTAGGAGGTGAGAATCTCCAGAATACATTTGCAGAGTTACAGTCAAACTAACAAGCTACTTGCTAATGCACTTTGGTTAGGATTTTTGAGAACTACGTGAAATGCCACATATGAGCTGAAGTGTGTAAATAATTTTGCATATTACAAATTCAGTGACTAGGCTGTAGTTGTTTTAACCCTTGTTTTTTTTTAATCTGAAGAGCAGTTCTTCATTGATACTATTTCTGCCTTTTTGGCACTTCAGCACCTACTGATACATCTGAAATCTGAGTCCCCTTTTCTTTTGAAGGAGCAGAATTAATTACTCTGCATCATCTCAGGTATATTTGTGTGGCTGAAGACTTGAATTAGAGGTCATTACTAAAACTGTTTTTAAGAACACTTTTCTGAGCCATTCAGTCAGGCTGCATGCCCACTTCTGCCATACAGTGACATTGTGTGTGGGTAGTTTGCTCTGGAACAGAGTAACTGTCTGTGTGAGAGTCCAGAACTCAGTTTAAATTGTGTACTTAAGAACTTTCTTTTTTAATGACTGTATCAGGATTTTATTCAGGATAGGTTCTTATCAAAATGTGGACTGATAAATTATGTCTTGTATGGAACATTTTTCTAATGCTAAAGATGGGAGAACATAGCCTCTTAAAGGGAAGATTATTGAATTTTGTATAAATAAGTGTAAAATGTGGGATATGTCCCTGCACTTCTTTGGAAGTTGGATTAAATGTAAAAATGCTTAGCTTCTTCCTTCTAGCAAGTATAATTAATTTTCTGGGTTCATCAGTGTTCTCAGTCATTACAGAGCCTTAGAAAGCAGTGTTAGAAAAAGTGTAGCAATATTCCTTACAAATAAGACGGGATCTTATATCGCCTTGTGATACAGCTTCTACACGAAGACAATTAGTTGCCTTCTTAAAATTTTAGTTCAATTTCAGGAGAAACCCTATAAAAATTTACTAAATACCTGAACAGTTCTTTATTGAATGTTGTCACACACATAGCTGTTCTCTTACTCTATGCATATTTATTTTTATGTATTGCTATTATTGGTTATATCTATTCAAATGCAATGACAAGTGTGTTAATGTTATCAGTCTGACTCTTGCCCATGTGTATGTGGTGGGTTTTTTTTGTTTTGTTTTTTTTCCTTTGGACAAGAAGGAAGATGATATGGATTTAAATGAACTAGACTTTCTACTCCATCTTATCTTTAAATATAACATAATGGTTTTCATTGGAAGTAAATTATGTTTATTATCTTGTGTCACACAGAACCTGCTGAGACAAATAGAGTTGTCGGATAGTATGTACAGCACTGAGTTGGCGATTAGTAGTTTATTCAGCCTTACCCAGGAAGGTGCTCATCTGTGCCGTATCATAGCTAAGGTAAGGGAATATATGGATCGATACAAAGTAAACTTAGTAATACAGGTGAGTTATTTTACTTAACACAGTAGTGGTTCTGAATTTTGAAATGTACAATACAAGATTAAAATCTAATAATCTAGGTTAAAGAAGAACAAAATTTACTCTGAGAAAATATTTTTTTTCCTTTTGCTGCTTTTGCAAACCTTACTCTGCAGAGTTTATTACCCCAGTTAGCCTCTTAGATTTAAAAAAAAAAAAGTCCACAATCCCCCAAATCTTTAATAACGCTCAATGCTTGTGCAAGCAACTGCAGTAGGATGGTAAGCTCCAACAGGCTTCTGGGCGTTGATTAAACTACAGTTGTCTTTGTGCCACCTGAGGTTTTACCGCTCCCTTCAGCATCTTAGGCATCTTTTTAGTGTCTCTTCTCACAGTATTTTTTAAGTATCAGCCACGTAAGTGCAGAGAAACTTAACAATTGGCCATGCATATAGCTGACTATGCAGAGGAACAGCAAGACACTTTCAGCTGTGTGTACAGAGGAGGTTATAGATATATTATTAAAGATGTAATTTTAGAAATACTTTGCATTCCATTATTTTCGTTTTACAGAGGAACATCATTACAGTTACTTCTGGCAGTGTGTGTTCTTGTTTACTGAGTAGTTGAAGCTAACTTTTGGTATCAAAGAATAATTCTGCCAAGATCAATGATAATTGGCAATCCCTGCAGTGTTTACACCTTTGAGGACACTTGGATCTTGGAAAAAGTGAGAAAAGTAGGGCATTGTGTGAGGTTGAGGATAGGACAATCACAACCGCAGTGTATATAGACAGAAGAAAACCTCCTTTCCCAAGCTTCTGCTTGTGGAGTGGTGTGCCAGTCCTTTGTCCTGCTCAGAGATGAGGTTAAACAGCAGCATTTAATTAATTTTACTTCTGATTTGCCTTTAGATGGATGTTTGTACTGTGAAAGGTACTGATCTGTTCTGAAGGCTGCAAATGAGGTAGACTCAGAAAGGTGTAGTGGATCTCTGCAACAGCCTGAGAGGTTTAATTTTTTCTAAATTGGTATTTGAGCTCCACTCAGTGGTATCCAAAAACAATGTTAAAAAGTTGAGTATTGAGGAGGTGCAGAACTGAAAAATTGAGGAAAATTGGTCTTGTGCTTTTTATCATGGTATGAATTCCATAGCAGTTTAATTTAGCAGAAGTGAAGTCTGATCTTTCATAAATCACTAAATTGATTTATTCCTAAGACCTGGATGTGTGTGAGGAAATGCATGCCCGTATGCAAAGAACCATAAGTGGAGTTCGGTTGCCAAATTACAGTGGTGATTGCATCACCTGTCCTGAGTGTCTGTTTCCTCTGTGCACTGGGAAATCCACTTGCCCTGAATGACCACCATCCTTCACCCTCTGTATTGCTTCAGTTATCTGTATCAGTGAGCAAGGTGGCAGAGGAATTGTAACAGACCAGAATTTTGAATTCAGTCAGTCTTTTAAATTAAGTAGTTATCTATGGCAGTGAAAGTGCAGGGTAATTTGGAAAAAAAAAAATTTGGAACTGTGCCCATTCATTAAGAGGGTGAGAATGGATTCAAGTTTTGCAAAGATCTTGAAACCTCCCACAGCTACAGGAGTTCCCTTGAGATTTGTCACATTATCTTTGGTAAAAATTAGCCAGAGAAGTGAAATATTGGTTTACAGTGAAAGTAAAACTCAACAATTTTTTTTCATATAACCTTGAAATCTTACTCTCCATGACAATGTATGATCTCGTGGAACACTGTTGTTAGCTTTTTTTCCTGTCCCGAGCTATAAATTACAACTCTAAAGCACACCCAGATCTTGGACATGCAAACAAAGAACCAGGATAATACTGTGAAGCTACAATATTACAGGAACTGGTTTCTCACTTTACATTTCAAAAAGGTTTCAGTCTTCTCTCTCCCTCCTTCTTCTCCCCTGCTGATATTTTACTAAAATTTTAAAAGGCTTTGAAAAGCTAACCCCCTATGTTGAAGTGTCACTTATAATTTTATTCCACCTGGAGGCATTCTTGGACTTTTTTTTTTTTTTAGCATGTAACTTTGTAATCTGCTGTGAAAGAGTCACGTTGCTGACTCACTCTGGCAGCCAGCTAGTCGTTCTCACCAGCTGTCAGAAGTATGAAGAGTAAGATCTCTAACACAAATGAGTAGTATCAAGGGCAAGGTAAGAAAAGAAGGGAGAAAGCCTAAATAATAATAAAAATCCTTGAATTCTGAGCTAATAGAAGAACGAACATTGAGCTGTGGTTTTCAAACCATAGTACGTAGCATTCATCTACAAGCAACTACACTGGTGGCAGCATAATGGAGACTCATTTTTATAATTTTTTAAGTGACAATGGAGAAAGGAAGAGCCAAGTAGAGCATTTGTTGCAACTACCAAGGAAAAGTTTTAGTCAGGTTGCTGTCTGCAGATCAGTTACGTACCTTTAGAACCAAATGTTACTAAAATACTCCACTGTCAAGTCTTACGACACATACTTAAGCATCAATCAATGTGACTAACTTGCCTGTATCATTATGTGGGGTTGCATTGCAGGGACATATTCACAAAAGTCTTTTTATTACATGATATCTATTAGATTTTGATCCTGGGATCTTTCATATTAAAAATTATAAATTAGTCTTGGTTCTTAAAACTCTGCCTTCATGTTCTGAGAGCATAAGGAGGTACTAAAACCCAGAAATTAGAAATTTTGAGTGGACTTGAACAACTGCCAAAAATTAGCATTACTTGAAGAAGACTAGTTCTAAATTGATTTGGCTTCATAACAACCAGAAGAATCATTAAAAAATCAGTTCCAGAGTTGCAGTAAGCAAAAGCTGGGACATAGAGTCATAAAGAAAAGGTTTTGTGAAGAAATCAATTTCACTGATGATAATTAGCGTCCAATACCAATACTGTATTGAACTGGATGCTATAATAATAGTCTCCTAAAAGAGAGAGAAGCAAAAATGAAGATAATTAAGATAGCCATACCTGCTTATCACACCCTTCTTTGGAGAATGCTTGACTATTTGAGTTCCATATGGATGTGCAGCCCATCACTTGCTCCAAGGAGGTTCTCATAAACCTTGGCCTTACCTTCTTTGTATGTCAGTTCCTTTTCTAGCAAGTATTTACTATGAAGATTTCTTTGGAGAACACCTTTCAAGATAATTATAAATGTTGTTGTTCATCATAAGGAAAGGCCTGGTGAGAAGTCACTGCACTTCATTTCAGGCTGAAACTGTGAAATTTTACACCCTAGAGTAGGGTGCCTTTTCTCTCGCTCTATTCAGTGGGGCTTTTTCTAGTCATGACCTCCTTCACATACTTTTTGTGATTGTATTTCAGGTGATTTTGTTATCTACTGCTAGCCCTTCTGAACTGCGTCTTGGGGATATCTCCATGAAATTGAATTCCTGTTTATTGAATGTAGGAGGGGAGTAGGTGATAAAGCAGTAAAGCAAGTTTTCCCTCTATTTCAGATACTGCTTCACAGAGTGTGTGAATCCTGTCCCAAATGAAACTTGAATTACAGCAAGAGCAACATTTCATGTGTTATTTGCTCAAAAGCTGGAAATGCCAAAAAGTCTTCAAAGGATAAATAAAAACATGCTTAGACACAGTGGGAGCTTTTGGAAAGGTGCAAGTTAATCTCCAGAGCAAGCGAAGCTCAGTACTGTTAAGTTTCTTTGAACGGCACTGTTTACCTACTTGACCAATTGATGTGTATTCCTGTCACATAGAGTAGCTGTATCATCATCATCACAAAAGATACAGGGGACCAATCTTGAAAAGGGGGAATAAATCCTGAAGAGTGCTGAGGTCCCAGTGAGGGGAGTGTTTCTGACAAGCCACAGAATCAGGCTGGGTATTTTCTACCTATTCCATGTTTCACATTCAGCTCTCTAGGTTCATTACTCGTCATCAATATTTTACGGCTTAGTAATGGCACACAGGGCACAAAATAAAGAGTTTAGATCTCCTGACAAATGCAGTGATAACTCACTTCCTGTCCATCAGAGGCAAAAGCAGGGCACTCATTTGTCATACGGAAAGCTTCAAGCAAATGTGCCAACATCACTTGAGCTTTACTACTGTTGTTCCCAAACTTCTGCTGTTGTGACTGAAGTAGATAATCAGTTCATCTCTGATTCCACTGAACCATGGGGACTTTAAAGTTAATAATAAATAAATAAAACAGGTACCTTAGATTTAGGGACAACACTGCAATAGCTTTTTTCTAAATTTTTCATAGATAATTTAATTACTGCTTGGGTGAAATATCAATATCCTTTTGTGGAAGGAACAGCATATGACTGAAACTTTTCTTGTTAGTGTGCTGCCTCTTTTTAATTGAAAGGCTCAAAAATGTCTTTCTGCAGTAGGCTGTATAGAGCAGTACTAGATATAAGACAACCGTACAGATATATGCGCACTTCTTACAATTCCAGAAATAAATTTTACTCTTAGCAAACCTCAGTAAGCCTGCTGTTTTCACTGATCTTACAGAAATTACATATACGTGTGGAAAGTCATAATATGAAACTTCTGTCTTGAAAATATATTAAGATATTAATTTTGTCTAATTCTAATTTTCTTATAAATTGGTGCATATTTTTGTTAGACTGAACAGATAGCTTTGCTTGCTCTATTATTCTCTATTCCAGCAGAGCTAGTACAAAAATGTGGAATTCTGAAAATGAGTGAAGTCTGAATTGCATTCTGGAGGTTTTATGTCATTATAAACTGTTGAGCTTTCAAATAACACTAATGGTTGAGGAGAAAAAGATTGTCTGTGAATCCAAAAAATATTTTTATATAGAGGCTATTGAAAAAAGGTCTTAAAAAGAAGAGTGGATGTTACAATTGGTCCATGATTCCAACTATTTTTAATTTACTATACTGTAATCTGAATACTTCAATCTGAGATCTTTCATCTGTCATTAATATTGTAACTGCTTTCCTGTTCATTATATGTCTGCTCTTACATAATATAAGGCATGTGTAGTCTATCTGATGGCATAAAATTGTGAAATGAAGGACAATTTAAAAAAACCCCACCCCACGAAGAGGATATACTGTCTGTATTTATTTATATCTTTCCATTTATAATGTGAACTTTGCTAATACATACGCTTACAAGCTGTGTTGGAAATTATTAAGGATAGCTACTGTAAGGATGTATATATACTCAAATCTTTGGCAATATTGCCGTATTTGAAGAAAAAAGTGTAGGAATGCAAATTTTATGTATTAGAGGATGAAGATAGGGATTGTATCTGTAAAGAACTTGACACCTATTTCCACCTTATTTTCATTAGCTCTTCAACTGTGTGAACTTCTTTCATATTTTAGCATTAAGTAAATATTGTACGGAGCTGAAAAATGTAGATGAATGGGAAATATATGCTAACAAAAATCTGTTTTAAACTAATAGCGTGTGGTTGAACTACCACTTAAATGTCACTCCAATTGCTGCTTATTGATAATTCTTTGTAATTTTCACATGAATGTCAAGTTTAATTTAAATTGTGCTTGTAATTGGTAAAAGTCAATCGCTTAAGCACACCTCCTACTAAGGCTATATTACTTTTTCATCACTTAGTGTATAAGCATTAATCAACTTGAGTTCTGTGTGTGAGCTTCACATCCTCTTTGTTGGTGTTTTGATGATAGCTAATTTGGATAAATTACTGAAGGAATCTATCCCCCATCCCACTCTCAGGTAAATACTAGGGAAACATTCAGTGCTGCTTTTCTGATTTTTTTGCTTTTCCTCTGCAGGAAGGAGGCGTAGTTGCTCTTTTTAAGATTTGTCGCCAAGATTGTTTCAGGTGCCTTTATCCCCAGACACTGAGAACATTGGCATCCATTTGCTGTGTAGAGGAAGGGATGCACCAGCTGGAAAAGGTAGGCACTTCAGTATTCTTTACTGACTGCGTCATAAAGCAGAGAAGTGCTGTCTTTAGTCTCTTCTAGGAATTGATAACTTCAGGGTGTTTGATACTGCACTCCATACTATGCTTGCTTTTTCTGTGCTTGAACAGTCTTTACAAAATTGGTCCCAGAAATAACATTATCCTATTCAGTTGCTTGCAAAAATAAGCTTTGTAAGTGGGGATAATTTTCATAAAACAGGTAAACATGTTAGTGACTATATAAAAAAACTAGGGAAATTATAATTTCTGGACACTCTGAAGTGTTTGTTTAGAAACTCCAATATTTCAAATAACATTGAAAGACAGAAAGCTTTACACTACTTTAAATCCTTTCCTGACACTCAGGGCACCTGCTTGTGGTACTGCACTAGCTTGTGAGAGTTGTAATTGCAGAGAAAGAACCGGGACGGATATAACAGCTAGCCAATAGAAAAATGTCTGCTAATCAGCAGGTCTTATAAAAGCCAGTTCTAACTGGGATGGCAAACATCAAAACATTATCCAGATAAAATTATATCAACTGCTTAGGCTCCATTCCTTTCTCACTCTCACTACATACTGCTGTGTTTTGGAAAATTAACACTTTTGGTCACTAAATCATGATCTCATCCTTTGTATTTCATAAAACAGTCATCTTCCACAGCTGAATAATGGCCTCTTCAAGTTAATGATAAATGATTTCGCTGCCACTTTACATTGACGTATCTTGTAATTTACTGCCCAGAATTCAAGCAAACTGTGACAGAACATCTGCAGCAAAAAGCAAGTCTCTGAGCTTACAGTAAATGAAGATGACTTAAATTTTTTTTGACAAAATGCTGGTTCAGACTGACACCAGAATCAGTCTAAAAGGATCTTTCACTATGTCCACTATAATAGTGGAATTAATAGAGTTAGAAATGGAAAAGATTGATTCAACCTACCTGATCCAATTCCTGGCACTGTCAACATGTGGCCCGTATCAAAGCTGATGAAACAGGAGTCCTGGAAGAAATGACAACTTTCAAGCTCCTGTGTCTTTGATCTACTTTAATGTTGGTCACAAGTAAAATTGCTCTGAGTAAACTTTGTCACAATTGGAATTGGAGTAGGGTGTAAAAGATGTTTAATTGAAATCCCTACCACTGCTTTCGGTTGTTTAATTTTCACCTGAGCCTTCAATTCTGCAACACAAGGGGCTCTACGTTAATCCTGCTCACCTGAATGAACAGACAGGTTTATACCAGGAATACTTGGTTATCACTTTGTCAACTTCTTTGCCTAAAATTGTGCTTCTGAGGACCCATGTGTTACCTGGGTCCAGTACATGCCTGAGTTTCTGGTGGGGGAGAATGGGATATTTCATATATCAAAAGAAACAAAGAAATTTCCTCTGCGAGGAGGTGAATGTCTCTCCAAGTGCTAATGGCGGTTAATCCACACAGGCCAGTACAATGCTATGTCATCTCTAAATAATTTATCAGCTGCTGACAGCCCAGGTTTGACAGTTTATAGAGCTGAGGAAGGATCGTAAATAAGAAAGTTTTACTACACTTTGTATTCTCTTTTCCCTGTTCTTGCACACCTGTTTAGAAGCAACAAGATATTCTGACCACAGGGAATCAGTGGAAAGTGCGTGGATCAGATGTTCAGTATTTTGATGTGAACAGCGCTCCAGTTTTTTTTGTATTGTGTTCTTTAAATAAGATTTTTTTCTTTCAAAATTTGACGTACTCTTGCAAAGAACAAAAAAGAGGGTTAACAAAATTAGCATTCTTATCAATACAGAAATTGCCATAGAATGTCTTATCTTTCAGAAAGGGCAGCTTCTGTTATCCAACTAAGTGCCTGGTTGGTGGTGAAGCATTTACTTTGCTCTAATGTGAATATCATTATGCCCCCTAGTGCATTGAAACATCAGTGCAATTTGAACTTGATTTTTAATTACAAACTTTGTTCAAAAACAAACAAAACCCAGAAAACCCCACCTAGACCTCTAAACAATTCAGATTAGGTAATTTAAGACTAACTCCCCCCCCCCCACCTTTTTTCAATTAGATTTACAGTGAAATGCTTTAAAGACCACTTAAAAGAAAGCATCAAGAGCTATCATTTCTAATGAAACATTTGTCTGGAAGGTGAACTAAAAGGGAGTAGTATAATTTCTGCAGTCATTTCAGTGTTTAATTACTAAAGGCACTAGGCATATTGTTTATTTATCCAGTGCTCTTTGATTTCACCAATTCAGTAGCAACACAAGAAGGTAACAAGGGCATCTGTGTTAATGTAGATAGTTATTTAGAAAGCAAGCGAGGAAGCCAGTAATGCACAGGAGGCAATCCAAGTAGAGTATCTTGACATTTTTCTTGGATTTTAAGATAACTGAATATTAGCCTTTAGTGCAAATTTAATGTGAATGTTATACTGGGTTTAAACCAATTTTAAACTCTTGAGTGAGTTTATGGATTGCAATGTGGAAATACTGTCCTCCTTTACGAAGGAAGGAAAGTAACAATTGAGTGCTCTTTTCTAAAGGTGTAGAAAATTGCATATTTTAAGCAAAAATATTTTCCTTAATCTTTTAAAAAGTAATTCTGGTTCTTCCCAGTCACACATCTTTAAATATATATCTGCAGTGCTGTCTTACCAGCACACTTGAAAAAGCCATTACTGTTTTCATCATCTTGATAAACAAGTTGATTTTTGCTCTAATTACAATGGCCAAGTATTGTTGCAATGACTAGCTTTTACTCTTTTAGGTGAATCTAGTTGTCTGTATGTACAATAATGCAAAATCAGTTGGTTAAAACACCAGCTTTAGAACAGTTGTTATTTCACTTGCAAGTACTTTACTGACTTTTGAAAAGGTATTGTTACTTAGTTGTGCATTGAATTATAGAGGTCCAGGAACTCAACACTAACAGATTAGTCAGGCAGTTAGAGTAGAAAGATAGTGAAGAAACAGTCTCATTTTGTGACTGGGGACTGCATGTAAATGAATGTTGTTCTGTGTAACCTCTGCTCCACAAGTGGTAATTTTGGTGTTTCAAGCTGCCTATGGATGTCCAGTTATTTGGTAGACTTTATTCATAATCCACTGCAACACCAGCAGGTTTGGGATCATTCTTTGGTCTCAGCTGCCCAACCAGTCCCATTTCAGAGAGGAGCAGCGGAGACGCTGGAAAAGCAATCATAATTTTCCTCCTTTGCATTACTCCTGTAGCTGCCTGTCCCTGTACCCAAGAGAGCTTTGTCATCTGTGTCTTGTGGCACTTGAGCATGCAAAGTTTTTAGGAAGAAGCTCACTGCATCAGAGAGGATGGTTATTCTTGGTTTAGGCATTCCAGAGTTTATTCAGAGACAATATATAATACAGGTAATTGATAATACAGAAAATAGCTGAAATCACTAAAGCGAGTTTGAGAGAGGTGAGCATGACAGGAAACTGAAGAACATTTGGTGCTACACATGCAGATCTGTTTGTGTATCCAGCCTTGAGGTTTAGGACAGAAATACAATGATGTAGTGGGAGATTGGTTCTCAATACAGACATTTGTTGAAGGTTCTAGAGGGAAGAATATCTGAACCTTTCTGCATGTGCCTTGAAAACTTAATTCACCTCAATGGTTCCCATGTAGGAAGGACTGTTGAAAGCACAGAGTTGGGATAGATTAATATGTGCGTTTCATGAAACTTATGGTAAAAGAACAGGTGGTCTTGATTGTCTGATAATGTGCATCCTGCAAATTACATTAGGAATAACTATATTTCAAATAACATTTTCATAGGCAAGACACATACAAAATCTAATAGATATGGTCTTTACCATGAAGCAGCCTGGCCTGCAAAAGGCATTTTTATTTGAATACAGTCACGCATCTTTAGCACATTGTTTGCCTAAAGCAGTTCTTTAAGCCCTTTCCCTTCCTGAGGCTGCATTAGGTCCTTGTTTTGCAGAGCTCTCTGAATAAAGTGTCTCCTATACACATACTGACATGCAGCCTCATTAGTCTAAAGACTGTGGCAGCTTCTCTGCGTCAGGTCTGTCGGTACAATACTTGCTACTGACTGGTGCTAGAAGGCATGGCTTTCCAGTTTTTGCCCTATGCTGAAGCTCAGTTGTGTGATTTTTTTTTTTTTTTAGTTTTTTTTTTTTTCACTGAGGCAGTCTTACTACTGCAATAAAAAGTGCAATGTACTGCAATTTTTACCATGCATGAGAAACATTATTACATTGAAAACCTGCAGCTCAGCTGGGACCTAGATCAAGGCTCATTTGCCATAAAAACATAATGTTTTATACACAGTCTTTCAAGCAGCTGCCTAAATATTAACACTCTGCAGTGTATGTTTACTTACACTATTTAAGTACTCCAGAAAGTAAGACACCTGGAATCAACTCATTAAGAGAAGATACTCCAGAGAGACTGGTGACAACTGTTGTTACTTTCATTAATAAAGCCTTCTTTTTAACAAATGACACAGCTTTTATCACTGTACTTTAAGCAAAACTGCCTAGGTATAGATTATAAATTGCTTTGACTCCTTCACTTGAAGGGCATTATATCAGATTACTTAACCTCCAGAAAAAGAATCTGAAAAAGGGGAGAGGAAGTATAAAGCATAAAATTTTTGTGGTTGGGAAACGGTACAAATTTCACGAAGATCGCTTAAACGTGGGTGACCTAAATTGTGTTGTCTGCTGTGAACCCAGTCTGATTTTTAAGAACAACCGTGATCTTAGACACAGTAATAACTTCTGCATGATGAGGATGTACTCTGTCAATGATATGTATGAAAAACAAGCTTTTGGTAGGAACTAAGTAAAATGTTTATTATAGAACCTGCAACTACAATTTATTGATAGCTTTTCGGTGAGTGTGAGCTGATTAACTTCATTCAGCTCTAACCACTTTAAAATTTCAGTTTCAAACATTAACCTCAGTCAAAACCAGGGAGTGATTTTGTTTATATGTTACTTTAAAACTCAGC